TTATATTAAGAAACAATCAAAATTTCTATAAAATCACATATTAATCAAATAAAATGGACGGTTGAGATTGGGTTGTATTGGCTGCACAAATGTCAAGGGTTATATAATAATCAACCTCTATATATATATATATATATATATATATATAGGGTTGGGTTCACGTGAGACCAGCCTGTTTTCGTGAGACCCGTGAGACCACGTTTTTACACGTAAACTTCACAGCAAAAACACTGTGAAGGTTTTAAAAAGTCGAACCTTCACAGCAAAAACACTGTGAAGGTTTTAAAAAGTCACCTTCACAGCATTTTTGCTGTGAAGTTTCAAGTGTAAAATGTTGGTCTCACGGGTCTCACGAAAACAGGCTGGTCTCACATGATCCCAAGTCTATATATATATATATATATATATATATATATATATATATATATATATATAGAGAGAAAACCACACAATTTGTACAAACTATGCAAACCACTCTCATCCGTCGATTTCATTGTTTAATCTTATGAAACTTTTTTCATGAAATTGTTTATCTTGTGAACTTGCTTCATATAATATTTTTTTTTGATGGAGTTGTTTCATATATGGTTATAAAACTGTTTCATATCATACTTAATAAAGTTTTAATGGAACTGTTTCATGTATTTCTCTAAAATTAAAATAATGAAAAGAATAATATTCATGATTAACACCCTTCACAATAAAAATGATTAATCAACCTCTCATAATTACAAAAAAAATGAACAAAATGAAAAATTATGATCGGTTGAATGAGGTTTGTATGGTTTGTACAAATAACGTGGTTTGCAAAATAAACCTCCTCTATATGTATATATACGATACTAAGGAACCGTCGTGATTCAATTTGTAACCGCCATAACAATTAACTATCCATAACTACTAATTTAATGTCATCTAGCTTACACATTTCAACCTAATGGAGGAGAAGAGATGGAGGTTGCCATAACAATTTAAGATGAAGAGAAAAGAGGCTCTGCTACCATATAAATTTCTATGTATTCCCTTGCCCTTTTACAAGATGCAAAGTGCAGAATATAAACAGAAGTAGTAGCCAACAAAAGGAAAACAAACTACTGTTAAAACCGTAACCGGATTTCTTCTACAATCGTGTGAATCACTTTCCAAATTCGATATTTCGACCGTATATGCCTGGTATCACGAAATCCGAATTGGGATAATTGTAAAAGCAACAATCTTGATTTTGGCCGAAATCAAGATCAAAAACTAGAGAGAATATAGAGTATGTCCAATCTTCCTTGTGTGCCCAAAAACTGATCATCCGAAATTAGATCTCAAAACTCAAAACGGGAGTTACCAAGTTATAGAATTCACAATCATGTCACAGAAAATTCAAGAAATTTTCATTATAAACCCTATACTTATATAATTTCGGGCCGGGGCGCTGCCCCGCCAGCGAAGCTACTCTTGGGACCCCGCCCGCTGACCGGGCAGCGGGACCCCCGTTTTGCGTTCAGGGGGCGTTGCCCCCTAAATATTACCGGGACCGATTTAGACTAATACAAGTGTGCACTCCACACTCTCCATACTTGTTTTAGAACAAAGTTCAATCCTCTTGAAACACACGTATAAAATCCATTACACTAAATGTAACCGGTGACACTAAAATCACCAACAACTACTCCATAAATAAGGGATTCATAAAAATTTGTAACAAAAGGAACCCAAGTATCGAATATTAACAATATCTCTTCCTATTACTTTAGTCTTAACTTCGTTAATCAGAAGAACATAGAAGAGGAATAGGCTAAGGTCMTTCACTTTAAAGAATAAATAGGCTAAAGTCCTTAAGCCTACAGGAAGAAGGGGTACCATCACTTATATTGACGATTTACCGACAAATCACCAATCGAGCAAATACCAGCAAATTTTTGACAGAAGGGGTACCATCGATAGTCCACCCGAAGCTTATTTGACGACGGTGGTCTGTTGGTAAAAGCTAGTCGGAAATGTGATGACAAAGCATGATTGCATATATAATGTTCAAGAACATAAAGATACAAATCCATCGAAAAAAACTACAGGTTGTGATTACGCTACTTTGTTGGTATATTTTATTTTTCAAAGTATGACATAACTCTAGTGACACGTTACACGACAACCTACATCGTTGCTAATTCGACCGCATGTGTTACAATGAATATTTCGTTTATAAGATGTCGGCATGTATATGTGACATAAGCGACCGCTTACCAACGGCATGACATCGATGATAGTCTGTTCTAAAGTTTGTAAACATGTCTAAAGTAGTTTCTTGAATTTAATACAAATGAAATGGCCACAAGAGTGACTCGAGGACAAGTCTTAGGACAGCCAGAGTCCACAATCTCTTTGAAAGAGAGAGGTCGCTGAGCACAGCCACATCCATCACATGTTCACATGTTGCCATGGGTGAACATGAATATGTGGTCTCTTATGCTCCACCAAAGCCTTCAATGGCTATGCAATAATGCATGCCAAGACAAAGATACACTTTTTCAAGTTCTGGTGAAAAGGAAAAGGAAAGAAGAAAAAATGAGCAACATCAATAAACACACGACACTTCTCATAAATGTGTTTACATGAACAAATTCATCATAAGTAACCATGGAATATATTTCTTAAGTTAATTGGCATCTTTTTTCAAGATTCGACTTATCTAATTTATAATTCAATTTCTCTTAATTGGTTGTGACCATATCGAGTGTAAATCCTACCACTACAACAAAATTAGGTTTATAAGACACCCATAATCTCTAAGTGTCCCAACAAACCGTTTTTTAAGACTTAATTTATAGGACCAAAATATAAAGTGTCGCATTAGCAACTTTATAGGACACTTTTGAGAAAGTGTCCTATAAACTCAATTTTTTATAGGACATTAATTTGTTTTTATAGGACAGTTTTTCAAATATTGTCCTATAAAGTTGATAATGAGACGTTTTATATTAAAAGTGTCATAAAAAACTTATTACGACGTCAAAAAACGTCATATAAACTTATTACCACACCTTTAGATAAGACACTTCTTTTTTGTCCTATAAACTAAGTCCTATAAAGAGGTCTATTATGACACTTAGAATTTCGGAGTGTCCTATAAACCAGATTTTGTTGTAGTGTACGTTTGCTAAAGCATCGATGATTAATATTGTAGGCATAATTTGGTCAGGTTGGCTGGTCGGGAATGCTCTTTAGGGTTCTCATAAACTTGTCCTAGTTTGTATTTTATTGTTAGGGATCAATTACAAGATGTGAAGGATTCATTCCATATAGCCTCTCTAGTATATCAGAGTTAGGCCAACGAGATTTAAATGTGCTTGAAGGTCTTTGTTAAATCAGTTTTTTCATCACATGAATATCAGAGTTAGGCCAAAACATTCCTTAGAATAAAAATTAAATGAATCAACATTGAACTTCTTCGTTTATATTGAGATTATATATATACCCCAAATTCTCGGATTACATATTTATATTAGAGAACGACAATTACGGGCGATTATAACTGTTAATGGATAAGATTGGAGAAATAGAGTTCCAGGACCGAAGTCTGACTTCATGAACCTGAACTCTGACTCTGACTCTGACTCTATATATTGGGTCTAAGTCTGATCGCAAAGACACTAAGGCCGACTCTATAGTCCAACATTACGTACTTGGTCAATTTCAGAAACCACAAGTCTAGAGGCAATGTCTAGATCTCCGACTCTATAATCCATAATTAAGCACTTAGTCAATTTTTCTAAGTCTGGACGCACAGACCTTTAAGTCTAATTGCATAGTCTAGATTTTAAGACTCGGCCAATTTTGAAGGTAACTTCAGAACTTTGATCAAAAGATCAGATCTCTGATTACTTTACCTAGACTTATATTTAGTGAAATTTTCACAAAGTTCGACTTTTCATAAATTCCCAAGACCTTCGGGAGCTGCCCCTAACCTGCTAGGGACCATCGCCAAGGGGTTCCGCCCCTTGGAACCTTACTAGGGACGCTGCCCCTTGAACCCCGCAAAGGGCGCAACCTCCTCGATCCACGTCTTGTGGCGATTTAAGGTGATAACTAGGGGCAACATTTGTGAATGTGCACACCCCACCTCATAACTCACTTATTATGTTTGTCTTATCACTCTAATAGATCCTATTGATTGTTAGTGTAATATCACAAGTGATTTTGCACATCATTTGGCTGTTTTCTTATTCATCTTATTTGGTTACTATGTTTGAACCTCCCTATATATATATATATATATATATATATATATATATATATATATATGGATTAAATCATTCGAAAACTCTAAAATTTGTGAGATTCGTGAGAATTTCTACCCTAAAATTTTGTTTCACATAAAAATTTCCATCCAAGTATAGTATAATATAGATTAACATATATTTGTTTCACAATTTGTTTATTCCATATATATTTAGTTTACAATGTGAAACTTTATGTATGTTTCGTTTCACAAACATGCCAAAAGGGTTCACATGTAAACCGAGTACATGTGAAACAAAAACATTGTGAATAAATATATTTTTAATCACTACATCAAAATATAACTATACATAAAAAAATTCATATGAAATAGCAAACGGTACACTAAATATCACAATTCCGTGGATACTCAAAAACAAATTCCACATACACACACACACACATATATATATATATATATATATATAGACATAGAACTAAAATTTGGTGGTGGTGCTTCAAAATTCCTTGAGTTCTTCAGTGATTTTGTTATGGGTTGATCTTGGTAGCTTAGCTTTTAGATTTATTTATGTTTGTTTAAATCGGAATATGGAATAAAACTATAAGAATCTAAATATATGTAGCATGCAATCCTGTAAAAGTCATGAATGAGAAGAAACTCTTAACTAAAAAGTAGAAAAAAAGAAACCATAATTATATAAAACTAATTCAATAATACAAAGCTGTATTATTCACAAAATTAAAAAAAAAAATCCAGCAAGAAACAGCGAATACTACGTACAAAGCCCTAATGGGACTATCCTCAAAAACAACCACATGATTCCATTCACAAGGCAGTCTTGTAATTGTACTAACTATTAATGAAATCATCAAACTCAAAGCTCTCTGGAATCTCAAACTTAAACATGCTGCAGTAAGTCTCTCTCTCATCCTCCGTGCTGCTGCTGTTGACAAAGGTTGATGATGAGTTTAGTGGCGTAGGACTTGACATGGGCGTCGATAAAACTGAATCAAAGTTGAAATTCTGGCTGGTGTGGTTGTAGTTGTGTTCTATATTTGATTTCTGGACACTCGAGTTCTCTGATGCTTGTGCCCTATATTGATCACTTTGACTTGGGAGGATAACATGATTATGGGTTAAGCATGGGGACATCACATTTTCTTCAACGATTTGCCCATTCATGTTAACAAAGTTTGGTGAAAAATACTGACTATGACTCTCTTGACTCAAAAGCTGAGTGCTTGAAAGTCTTGGCGCGATAGAACTGCAGTTTGGAAGCTGCTGATCAAGGGTTTGGTTCATAGGATTCATTTGGTTATTTAGAAACAACTCTTGGTTCTCTTGATTTGATGATGATGCTAGTAGAGTCGCAAGCCTTAGAACTTCTGGATTTACAAGTGTCTGGAGGTTCAAAAGGTTTGAGAGATTAAGCTGGGCTGAGTTGAGCATGGAAGAGATGTCAAGTAGATCGAGGCGAGGACTATGAGTCACTGGATCAATCCCATTCCTGAGTAGCCTTTTCCGAATGTGGGTGTTCCAGTAGTTCTTGATTTCATTGTCCGTTCTTCCAGGCAACCGAGCAGCGATCGATGACCACCTATGATCAACCAAAACTTGAGATAAGAATACATATTCTAACTTCATATAAAGTTAAAGAGACAATTGGAAGACAAAAAATTCAAATGGTATTTGCTCATAATCTTTTTTGACCAGAATCAAGTGAATAACTTGAAAGTTTTTCTGTTATAAACTATCTAATAAGCAAAGGATTGTTCCTAACCATCAGCTGTCTTAATTCGAACATGCCAAACTAGTACACGCCATCGGTTTTCTAAATTTCATGACTCAAATGATACGATGACGAGAATATTTACCATAAGAACTTACTTATTCCCCAGCACACTATGAAGTTGAATGATAGTTTCTTCTTCTTCAAATGAGAATCTTCCTCTCTTGATATCAGGCCTCAAGTAGTTTGTCCACCTAAGACGACAACTCTTTCCACACCGTTGAAGTCCTGTACATATATAAAATGGTTTCTTTTTAGCAAAAGCGAATCTAAAGACTGTTATTGGAGAAAAAACAAAGATCAAATACATGCAGACGCTTATATATACCAGCATTCTTGGGGAGGGTTCGCCAATTGCCAGGTCCATGTACTTGAATATACTCCAAAAGTTTGAGATCTTCTTCTTGTGTCCATGGACCTTTCTTGAGTCCATTTTTATCGCAACACGGTGATCTTCCCATTCTTGCTTCTTTGAATTGGTTTCTAGAAGATATTACAGAGAAAATAAGACTGAGTGCAAGAGAGAGATATAGAGAATAGAAAGATAAAGGTAAGTTGAAAGAAAACTGAAACTTGTAGGTCCAAAAGGGAAGATGACTTCTCTTATATATATATAGATGTAGAGGACTCACCTTGCAAATAGTTAAAGAAGTCAATATGATTTGGCGCCGGCCTGTTCTACAGTCAACCTCTCTCAATCTCTATGTTTCTGAAGGTGGTGAATAGTTGAAAAAATGGCAAAAGCTGGAGATAGAATGACTGATAGGGGATCTAACCAAGTGAAGGTAGAGTCTGATTGGATGCAGATGACAAGTGTCGAGTGATTGCTGGGATTGACTTTTTGTTCGTGTTTGACCTGTACAAAATGAAAAGCTTTTGGTGGGTAAGGTTGTTATATCCTCTACCAGTTGTGATGAAATGTTTCCATGGTTTCTTCTTCGAGCTTCCCACAGAAAATACCCTTTTGAATTCATTAATTGGAGGAGAATGAAGTCCCATTTTGGCTTACGTTTGGATTTCATCATTATGGACCCGTTTATACCTCGACGTGTCAACTTTAATATATACCTTTGACACCCATATTGAGACCACAATTACCAAGAATCATTATGGGGTTCTAAATAATCCAAACGTGAAAAGCATTAGTAGGTCTCAGATTTAAATTTAAGGAGAAATAAAAATTTCTTTGTGGCTATGGAGGTTCAAATACGGTGATTCCGGGCTATCCGCAAAGCAGGTGGTTATCTTAGAATTAGTCGGCTCGCATAGCGGGGTGGATAGGTTAATCAAAAAAAATTCCAAAACTACTTAAATTTATATTGAATTCAATATTTAACATATGTGATCGTTGAACAATTCGATATTAATTGGCCATTGACTTAATGATGAGGATGCTCTGTGACAATATGTTGATACCTCCTTTTGGCGATTTACATGTAAATTTGGGGCTCATGAGACCAAGCATTAAGTTATGGTTCATTTAACCATAACTGGAAGAAATTATGTCTTTGACTCGCATTGAACATATCGACTATTAAGACCACCTTTTGGCAATGAACATATAAACTTTAGGGTTCAATCAATTCACATAGCACTACAACAAAATTAAGTTTAATTTTTAGGACGTCACCAATGTATAAGCGTCAAATATATTATTGTATAAGACTTAATTTATAATACCAAAAAATAAGTGTCATATCTAAAGACGTTGTAATAAGTTTATAAAAAAAATTGCGGGTCGTAACAAGTTTTTTACAGCATTTTTAATACAGAACTTTGTATTAGCTATTTTATAGTACACTTTTGAGAAATTGTCCTATGAACCCGTCTTTTTATTGGACACTTGTTTTTATAAAACATTTGTTCCAATAATATCTTATAAAAATAGCTAATACGATGTTTTTTTTTTAAATATCTTAAAAAACTTGTTACGATGTCCAAAGGCGTCATATAAACCTATTACAACGCGTTTAGATGGAATACTTCATCTTTTATTTATATAAATTAAGTCTTATAAAAAAATTCTATTAAGACGCTTAGAAATTTTTTACGTCTTGTAGAGACAATTTTGTTATATGTAATATTAAGTTATCGTCCATGGGTATGGACCATAACGTAAAAAAATTCCGTCTTTGACATGCATTGATGTTAGGATCGCCTTCTAGCACTTCACTTGTAAACTCTAGCGTTCGAGACCTAGTATTAAGTTACGGTCCATGAGTATATATGCACCATAACAAAAAAAAAACACATGTTTTAGACGGGCATCGTTCACTTGTGCATCCATCATAATACGTTGTATCAAAGAGCGTAGATATGAGACTCCACGTTTCTTTCGTCAAACTTAGACCGAATAAGTTATATCATGTAATAGGTTAAACCGACCAAAGTCCATTCTGATCTTGAAAATTTTGTTTGCTTCGACCAAAAGAAATCAATTATTGATATTCAAATTGCTCTTGTTTTTAGCCAAGAAACAAAAGTCAACTGTCAATTTGATTTACGTAAAATACGACAATATCATGCAGCCACATATACCACGCAATGCATGCTTCCACATTTGTAACTTAATTCATTAATAATTAAAATATATATTTTTGGCTTAACAAAATAGAAAATATGATTTAATACCTAACTTAATAAAATGCTTAATTATCAAATATTTTAGAAATCCCTTTGATGCAAAAAATTTAAAGGATTAATGTATATTATTTTTACGATATTTAATCATTTGAGAACTTCAAATTTTATGAGATCAGTGAAAACTTTTATCTTAAAGTTTTGTCTAACATAGTTTTTCATCTAAATATCGTATTTGTTTCATAATTTTCGTTACATATGTATTCGACTTGCAACGTTAATTTTTTTTATGTGGTTTCCACAAACATGTCAAAAGGATTAACACTCTGAACCTAATAGATGTGAAACACACACACACACACACACATATATATATATATATGGTTGGGTTAACGTAAAACTAAAGGTTTTTCATGAGACATGTAATACTAATTTATGTTCATTGATCAACTTTATAAGCTAATGGTCTAGTTGTACGGTGACAATTTTGTGATTATTGAGATGTCTCATGGCAATTTTGTGATTATGAATGTTCAGATTGTAGATCTAATTCTAGGGTTGAGAATTGGTCTTACGGGTCTTACGAAAAACTTTTGGTCTCACATGATCTCAGGTATATATATATATATACACACACACACACACACACACATATATATAGAGTTTGTTTCAAATGCAACTCATTGCATTTGTACAACCAATGCAACTCAATAAATTGAAATATTTATGGAAATGATGAGAGTTCATTTATTACGATTTAAATATTTATGGAAGATGTATACGATTTATTAATTATGATCAATATTTTATATTATGAAACAATCAAAACTTCTATGAAATTACATATTCATCAAATCAAATGGACGATTGAGATTGAGTTGTATTGGTTGTACAAATGGTAAAGGTTGTATAATAACACACCTCTATATATATRYATATATATATATATATGTATATATATATATATGTATATATATATATGGATATATATATATATAGAGAGAGAGAGAGAGAGATGAGTTATTATGCAACCATTTACATTTGTACAACCAATACAACTCAATATCAACTGTCCATTTAATTTAATAAATATGTAATATCATAAAAGTTTTGATTGTTTTCTAATATAAATATTGATCATAATTAATAAGTTATAGTCATTTTTCATAAATATTCAAATTATAATAAATGAACTTTAATCATTTCCATAAATATCTCAAATATTGAGTTGTATTGGTTGTACCAAATATATATATATATATATATATATATTAAATTATAGCAATTAGTTAAAAATAATATAAAATACTGATACTTTTTGTATTAATTATAATAAGAAAGAATAAGCTGCCAGGTGTCAGTTGTCACGTGGCCCAGCATGAGACTGTAAAGTTTTAGATTTAGGGGACCCACCACAATGTCAACGCTTTTTGAAAGAGGACACGTAAGCGTTGGACAAGTGTCCTTATTATGAAAATTATATTGTTTCTGTTGATAAGGTTTGCACACACACACAACACCTAAACACACACTACAGCCCATAACACGTGGTATTTTTTTGGCCATTTGAAAACGTAATTTGTAATACGTATAATTTCAAAAATATGTTTCATTACTAAATATTTTTACATAATTTTTAACGATACATATTTTTAATAATTCACATATAAATCTTTGGGAAAAGTTTAAAAAAATTCAATGAACTTTTGTGTTTAGAATGATTAAGTTCTTGGACAATTTTTTTTGAACAAATAAGTCATTGGACATTCCAAAACATGTTAAATAATTTTTTGGACAATTTTTTGGAACAAATAAATCCTTGGACAATCCAAAACATGTTAAATAATTTCTTGGACTTTTCTAAAACTTGTTGGATACATTCTTATGACTTGTACAACTAGTTAACGTGGTAAAATAGTGAAAAAAGTCCGAAAAAAACCCAATGAACATTCATATTTTGAACGATTAAGTCCCTAAACATTTTTTGAACCAAAAATGATTTAGATCTATAAAATTAAACAAATATAACAAAAAAAATACTTATATTTACAAATAAATTTAATAATAATTCTTTTTAAATTTTTTTATTATTTTTTTGTTTGAAAAATCACTGACAGAATATATATTAGTTATAATTAAAATAAATTTTATCAAAAAAAAAAATTGTAATTTTTTTTTGTAAATGTAAGTACTTTTTTGTTATATTTGTTTAATTTTATAGTCTAAAAACTTTTTGGTTCAAAAAATATTTAGGAACTTAATCGTTCAAAATATGAATGTTCATTGAGGGTTTTTTCGGACTTTTGTCACTATTTTACCACTTTAACTAGTTGTACAAGTTATAAGAATGTATCCAACATGTTTTAGAAAAGTCCAAGGAGTTAATTAATATGTTTTGGATTGTCCAAGGACTTATTTGTTCCAAAAAATTGTCCAATGAGTTATTTAACATGTGTTGGAATGTTCAATGACTTATTTGTTCCAAAAAATTGTCCAAGGAGTTAATTAACATGTTTTGGAATGTTCAAAGACTTATTTGTTCCAAAAAATTGTCCAAGAACTTAATCATTCCAAACACTAAAGTCCATTGGGTTTTTTTAGACTTTTCCCTACACCTTTTTATATCTTTCATTCTTATATTTTCATAATATTTAGCACTGTGTTTTTCTATGAATCTAGATATCCAAATCGCAATGCGAGCCAGCTAATCTTAGGGTGACTATCTGCTTTGCAAATAGCCCCGAGTCACCGCATTTGAACCTCCGTAACCACAAGGGGATTTTTATTTTTCCTTAAATTTGAACTTGAGACATCCTGTTACTTTTGACCTTTAAAGTCAAGCTCAAAACAATCAAACACCATCATTTTAGTTAATATTTAG